CAGCCACCCAGCCACCCAACCACCCAGCCACCCAGCCAAGCACCCATCCGCCCCCCCCCCACCTTGGTGCCCTCCAGGAAGACGCTGTCCCAGACCCTGGCCGCCGTCTCGGCGGGCAGCGTCGTGGCGAAGAGCACCAGGAACCAGTCCGTGGCAAACAGCGACACCTCGCAGCCCATCGCCTTCAGAAGGGGCGGGGCAGATGGGTAGAGGCTTGCTTCAGTGCTTTGAGGTTGCTTGGTTCCAACGAAGGCTTGCAACAAGCGATCGCCACGCATCCTCGCGACGCTGGACTGATAACCGCGCTCCCTCTTGTGAGACGTGCCCTGGGTCGCGACCCTCCCTGCGTTCCTCGCCCGCAGCCCGAAACGGTGAGCCGCGCCCGGGCTGTCGAGCGGGCGCGGGGCGCCGCCCACACCTCCATGTGGCGGTGAAGCTTGGGCGCCTTGGCCTTGAGCAGCTCGGCCAGCACCCGCATCTCCACGTGGCACCCGTCCAGCTGGGGGGCGTAGGTTTTGGGGTACAGGATACCCTCCAGCAGCGCCACCAGCAGCCTGGGATTTGATTGGGGGTTTAGCGGCGTGTGGGGCGGCTGGGCACGCCGCGGAGGGCGACAGCCTGCAAAAGCAGGGGGCATGCCCCCTCTTGAGAATGGTGGGTTGCCCCCCTTTTCATGGCCCGGATGTCGTCGAGCAGGTGGGGGCCTGCATCAGGCGCTGCAGCTGCTCGGCAGCCGCAACCCCGCAGCTTGCGGCCGCCGCAGGCGCCTGGCTGGGCCCGCACCAGAAGCAGCGCTCCGCGTCTTTTTCGACCGCCACTAGCAGCAGCGCCGCCAAAAAGTTCATGCCCTGAGGGCGGACGCGCGCGCGCATGCGTGGGTGCACGTGTGAAGGGTATGGACGGGGCCTGAGAACAATGGCGGCCGCCGCGACACGCCCATTGGCGGCCCAGGGGCGCCCTAATCACGGCCGCCCCTGTACTGGCGCCTGGCGCCGCGTACGGGCCTGCTCCGAGGCGACGCCAGCGGTCGTCGCCCTGCAGGCGCAGAAAAACGCCTGCAACTACCAACACAACCGCCCTACGGACGCCCTGCAGGCGGCGCAAAGGCCTGCATGTGTGCGTCGCGGCCCCCCTTGGTTCATATGACCCCCCTGCCACCTGGCAGTACCCGACGTCCGGGTTGTGGGCGCTATACGCCACCAGCACGCTGCGCAGCGCCGCCAGGCCCTCGGGGGTCGGCACCCAGGTGTTGCGCGGGAACGTGCGCGGCAGGTCCTGCAGCGGGCGAAACGGGTAGAGAAGGTCGGGGAACAGAGCAGGATACGGGAATGCACGCGTGTACCGGCGGTCGTGGTGCGACAACATGTCTTCAGGCGGCCGCTTGGAGGCGCGCACTCCCGAGCCGCGCAGACCGAAGGGATCTGCGGCGATGCTGGATCCCGGCCACCCACACGCACTGCTGCCATTGCCCTTCTTTCATCAACAACGTTTGCCCTTCCGCTTCAAGTTGGTCCTTGCTTGACGTCTACATTACCCACCACATCTACTTTGCCCGTCACGCCTCTACAACAGAATGGAATCACCCACCAGCTCTATCTGCCTGAGGCAGGGACGCCGCTCCCCAGCCTCCACCATCCTCTGGAAGTGGGTGGCGCCGCCGCGCTCGCGGTGCGCCGCCGCCCCGGACGTGTGCCACCACACCCAGCCGCGCAGCACTGGGGGAACGCCCTGCGAGGGCGTCCCAGGGTGGCCCGGTAGGGGGGGGCGAGAGGGAGAGAGGGGTTTGTGAGCAGTCAGCATTAGGCCGTGCGCCCGCCTCTTTCCAGGCGGGCGCTCGATCATCAGCTGCGGCTGCGCTCCACTGCAATCAAGGGAAGAACCTTGCCAACAGAAGAACGCGTGCGCAGGCGCGCTCACGCACAAGAAGCACGGCCCCCCTGATCACGTGCGAGAGGGACCAACCGCGCATGCTCAACCCTGCGCGCCGCCCAACCGCATCAAAACTGGCGCCACGCAGCCCGCCCCCCACCTTGCGCACGTAGCGCTTGAGCTTCGCGCCCTCCGGCAGGCACTGCGACTTGACGAACGGCTCCCACTTGGCCTCGCGCCGCAGCGCGTACTCCGCGCACGCGTAGCGGTCCGCCTTTTCCGCCGCGCTGACGGTCAATTCAAAGCCGTAGACATCGAATATGCCGGTCTCCCCCGACATGGGCGCTGCCGCTGGCGCTGCCGCTGCTGCCCAGGCGCGCTGTGACGGCCGACGGAAGGGCGAGCGGGGGCGTCGGGGCGGTCCGAGGTTGCCGCGCGGGTCGGTCGGCGCGCAGTGGGCGCGGGGGTGGCGCGCGTGCTGCGGCGTGTGTCAAGGGGACCTGCGCGGAGGCGGCCTCGCAACTCGCGAGGCGTGCGCCCTACGGAAGCGCCTTGCAGCAGGCAAGGCAGTGCTATCGATTGTGTCTGATGAGTGGGAGTTGATACGCCCAGTTCTAATCTGTCATCAGTGCGGGCTCCCTGCTGTCGCACTGGGCCACGAGTGCGCTCAGCCTGAATAGGTAGGCCACTTTCAACAACACATCCTCAAGGCAGGTGATTGCCGATAACTGGAGGGACATGCTTCAAGTCGACAGAGCAAGGGAGCACCGCAATGTTGACGAGTGTGTCGCAAGTGCGACGGTCAGCAACGGACTCAAGTCCTGAGAGGGGTATAATAAAGCCTCTTCAAGCATATCGAAATGCCTACCGTGATCAGTTTTGACCCACCCGCCCGCGGCCCCTGGATCAAGGACAGAACCGCCGCAATAAATCAGTTGATCACTTCTTCAGGAAAATCCCACCTATTCTCTTTCTAGTCAGGGCCCACACGGCACCCCGCACGCGGCAGCGGCGGTGCCTGCACCTGCATCGCGCCTTGCCTAAATGCGGTCGGGGCCGGATCGCTGCAGCAGCTGCGGCCGCCTGCTGCGTGCGACAACCCTGGCGCTGGTGCCTCTGTTGCAGCTGCTGGCGGCTGGGCCCTTGGACGCGGCAGGTGAGGGCAAGCAGCCGTGCGGCGCAGCGGTTAGGGGTGACGCGCTGCCTTCTGCAGCTTCTGGGTATCCTTGCAGGGCGTCGCGCATTATTGGTGCTGCTGCGAGCGGCCCCTCTCAACTCCTTGACAACCTGCACAACGACCGGGGTGGCTCGGCGAGCAGCGGGGTGCGGCACCCCCGGCCCCTCCTTATAGGGGCGCGCGCGCATGGCACGCGATGTCCTTATGCGCCCGCTGCAGGGATCCAGCACCCCTGCCTACCCCGCCTGCGCCGCGGCCGTCCGCCTCCGTGCGCCGCAGAGCCGCCCGCCCTGGCCAGCGATGAGAGGTTCATCGGCTGGAGTGGGGAAACGTACCAACCAGTGAGCCCCCTGCAGCACTGAGCAGCTGGGCAGCCGAGGCGCACCCGCTGCACACGGTCCATGCGCCCGCACTCGGCGCCCTCCTACGCGCCCTGCTCGGCAGCTTATTGCTTGTGCTGCGGGTGCTGGCGTCGAAGGTGGCAGCTGTACTCCCTGCGCTGACCGCTCAACGAATAGGGTTGACCCAAACACTGCTTGCCGTCATGCAGACTACCAAACGGCCCAAACAGGACACCACGCGGCGCTGGTGAGCCGCGCAGGCGGCGGCACGCCTGCACAGCACAGCACCGTGAAGCATGCGCAGCAGCCAGAGCGCTGAAGCATGCGCAGCAGCCAGAGCGCATGCCTGACCAGCGCCGCTGAACAGCGCCGCAAGGCGCCCGCTGCGCCGGCCCCTCGCCAATGCCTCCAATTCGCAACAACCTTCTCCCACCCGCCATCCTCGGACACATCCCAACCAAAAGGGTCGAAACCCTCAGCTGGCACCCGCGCACGTACCTTTTCCATAATTTCCTTAGTCATGACGAGGCGGATTATGTGGTCAACCTCGTAGAGGCAACGGTGGGTCCACGGCCGCCGGCAGGCGCACTCGTGTGCACTCAACGCCGCCCAAACACACCTGCCACCGACCCCGGCCCCAGCTCCGAGGGCCTGCCTCGCCCTTGTCTCCTGGTCTAGCTCGGGGACTGGCTGCATGGCGCCGCGGCTCTGTGAACTGGGCTGGCTGGGCCGTTTTACCGACACCAGCCTCCCACCAAACCATCGCCCACCTGCCTGCCGTATCTGACAACACAGATGAGCAGGTCTCATGTCGTGGATGTGAAGACCGGCCACTCCAAGACAGACCCCATACGCACAAGCTGGGGCGGCTCGTTGATGTGCGCGTCTCGCCAAAACCGCCTTGGGGTTGCGACAGCTGCTTGAGGCCGTGCCCTGAGGAGGCCGCAGGGGTGGACGGGCGGACCTGCCTGGGGCGCTGCCTGCCATAAGGAGCACAGGCGCCCCCCCCCACCCTCCTGCCCCACCCCATCGCAAAAGGGCATACGCACACACGCGCACAGGCACACTCCCACCTACACGTGTGCGCACACACACAACTACACGCACACATTTACACACAAAAGTACACACATGCACATGCACACGCAAGCACCCACAGGCTTACATGCACATGCACATGCACATGCACACACACGTGCACACCCACCCACACACAAGCACATACGCACACAACGCATGTGTGCAACGCATCACGCATGCCCATACGCACTCGCACCCCGCAGGCGGGGCCAGACACCCACGATCTCAGCCATCGAGCAGCGCATCGCAGAGTTCACCCACATACCACCAGAATACGGGGAGCCCATACAGGTGCGAGCCCGGGGCCGCCCCTGACCACCCGCCTCGTTGGGCCTCCACCGCCGTCAACACCCACCCCTCTGCACCTCGCCGCGCCGTCCCTCCCACCTCCCATGTTCAGCGCCCCACACGCACCCATCCCCCTCCAAAACCCCTTCTAGCATCCCTCACGCATCCCTTCTCTCGAGCTCCGCAGCAATCCGACGCGTTCCTGCTCGATTCCATCCGCGCCCCCTGCGCCCCCAGGTCCTTCGGTACAACGACGGGCAGCGGTACGACGCGCACTGGGACTGGTTCGACGACCCTGTGCACGGCCTGGCCAACGCCACAGAGAACCGGGCGGCCACGGTGCTGATGTACTTGGGAGAGGTGGAGGAGGGCGGGGAGACGGCCCTGCCCATCGCGGTGCCGATAGACAGGAAGAGGCAGGTAGGCGTTTGGTGTTAAGGCGGGTCGGGGTGGGGTGTGATTGGAGGGGTGCTTGGTCGTTTACGTGTGGGGTTGAGCGTGTGTAATGCAGGCACGTCAACCCTTTCACCCCTCCCCCAAAACACTTTACCTTTGCTTCCACTCCCTTGATTGATTGATGGTGATGTCGTTTGCTGCGCAGAGTGGGAATCGCGGCAGCCTGTCTGTGTGCGGGCGCAACGGCACCCTGGCGGTGGTGCCTGAGAAGGGGGACGCCCTGCTGTTCTTCGACATGCTGCCAGACGGCCGCAACGTCGACCGCCGCTCGCTGCACGCTAGCTGCCCCACGCTCAAGGGCACGAAGTGGACCGCCACCAAGTGCGCCGCGGGCTCGGGGCGCAGCGCGCGCTGCCTGCAGAACGTCCTGCGGGCCCTGGCGCATGCGTGCGCTCCCTGTGGCAGGCGGATTCATCACTGCCGCAATCTTGCCGCCGGTGCCGGTGCGAGGGCCTGCCCATGCACTCGTTTGTCAGATCCTGGCGCGGCCGCCAGCATGCCTCCAAACTGCATTTCGCCCTTCGCGCTGACCTCCCAACCCATACCCTCCCCCCTCCCACCGTTGTAAACAACCTCGCGTCCTGCCAACAAGGTGGATACACAATAAGCCGTATGGGGGCGCGTACGACCCCCTCAAGGAGGCGGCCCAGTGCAGGGACCTGCGGCCAAGCTGCAAGGCCCTGGCGGCGGAGGGGCTCTGCGACAGCGACCCTGGGAGCATGCTGGGGCTGAGGGGCGCGTGCCGCAAGTCCTGCGACGACTGCATCGATTGCGCGCACGGCGACGTGATATGTTTGCGCAAGAACATGCGGTCGCAGCGGGCGCGGCGAAAGGCGGGGCTGACGTGAGCGTGCGATCAGCTGCATTGCTATTTGGTGGATCATCGCCTTTATGTTGTGTCATGCGGGAGCAAACTGCCATTCGTTTATTTGATTTTTTGAAATGTACTGGAACATTCTTTGAGGACGCACTGGCGCTTGAGGGATTGCGAAGCGTTCGCCGCGTGGCAACGCACCACCCCACAATTTCCTTCTGACCTGGCAACTGCCTTGGTTACGGTTCTAGTTGCCACCGACGCTCAGCCGCCGGCTGCTGGAAAGTAAGCAATACTCTGTGAGGGTGTGGTAGCCCTTGATTGCAGTGCAGTTACGCTCATGCCTATGGTGTAGTCAACCTCTGCCCGCCCAGCTGACAAGGACGAGACAAATGGCGGCCCGCACAGCCTACAGAATCGCAGGCCTGGGATTTTTGCGAAGTTGGTGACTACGTCTGACGAGCTGCTGCCTGCTGCCTGCTGCATTGCCCCCAGTTGCAGCATTTGGCGCTCGGCTACTCAAGCTGCATGCCATCACCCCCTTGCGTGTGAACTGCTAACTCTGGCCAGCAGCAACAAAATCTTCTACGGTGCCGTGCGTGAGAGACCAGCCCGGTGGGTTTGACCAGGTCCTGATAGTAGCCACACCTGCACGACCCACCGGCACAGGAGCACCTTCGCAATTTGCAAGAGCCCGTGACCAACTGGTGTCTCCTCTAGCTAACACGCACCACCATGCCCCCCGACTCATGGGGCATACAGAGCTGTCGCACACACAACGTTGTTAGGGTGCAAATCAACACCTTGTGCCAGGTAGTCACTCTTGTCGTGTGCAGACTATCCTTCACCGTTGCCAACGGACGGGACATGACCCCATTGCACGTCTTGCGGAGATCCTTCACCGAGTTCCGAGCTTCTTCCGAAAGGATGGCATCGGTTATGACCGCGCAAGCCGCTCCATCCACACCACAAAAACAATCAAATTGTCATTGCGAGCATACCGAAGAAGGCATTCCGGCACCGTCAACAGTTCTTCAAGCTTGACGTGATCTGACGATGACTGCCAGGACTCACATTTCCCTTGAAAGTGAGACTAGTACTCTCACCAATCTAGATGGTTCATCATTTATACCCTCAGGATGATGACGCCACTGACCTTGCAGCATCCCTAGCTGTTGCTAGCTGCTGCGGCCGCTGGCTCAGCGCCAGCTCGCAGGCGGCCAGCTCACCCCCTACGCCCCTACCCCCCGCCCCTGCCCGCCGCCGCAGGCCTCCCTGTGCGCACTGAGCTTCCTGATGGCGGCGCCCTGCTGGCAGAGGCGGACGCGTACCGCGTCCTGGAGGGCGGTCGCCTGGCGCAGTCGGGCGGCATGGTGGCGCCCGCAAAGCTGCGCCTGGTGCGCAACAAGGCGGCCGGCAACCACGTGCGCTACGAACTCGTAGTCGAGCCCGCCGACCCTGACGACACGGCCGCCGGCGCGCGGGTGGTGGTCCAGCTCAGCGCCCGCACGAGCCTGGCGCCTGCAAAGCTTTCGGGCCTCAGGCACGGCAAGCATGCAGTAAAGCCCAAGGGGGAACCGCTGGCCAAGGCCGTGCTCAACTCACCTGGCGCTGACATCGATTTGGTGAGCGTTTAGGGGCCAGGGGGATTCTGGTGGAGGGTGGGCCTTGCGTGCAGGGCGCCAGCTCTGGGATGCAGGGCCAGCACGCGGCTGCGCGTGTGCACTGTGTATCATGGAGGCGTGAGCGACGAGAGTGCCATTCTAGCCCCGGGGCCGTGCTGGGTAGCAAGCGCCTTTGGGGCTCGCGCTGTGTGCGCAGTCAACAGCGGGACTCGTCAGGGCACCCGCCCCAGCAGTCGCAGCCTCGTGTGCCCGCTCCTTGGATTGGCGGGG